CCCCCACCCCCACCCCGAGCCTTCGGTGGCTCCCCAGAAGGGCCTGCTTCCCAAGATTTATTTTCCGGCCACACTCGTTTCAAAAGACCTAGAAACAACACCGGGAGGGTAAGGGGAAACCAACCTTGCAGCTTCCCAAAGCCTCCCAGAGAGCTGTTTTCCCGTGGGAAACGGCCCGAGACGCCCGGCGTTTTATCATGAAACTGTAGCTGGTTTTGAGAACGTGTGCGAACCCTGGCTGCCCGCACTGCCCCGTTTATCAGGGAGGGCTCGGCTGATCTGTCCGTGCCAGCTCCAAGGGCGGGTTCACGAGAGAAAGGGGAAAGAGAGTGTGCCCCCCTGGCCGCAGAGTGGGGTCCCTGGGGAGCGGCCTGGAAGGTTCTAGGGAGCTGAGCACTCAGTTCTGCCTCAACGTAACTTTCTACATCGTTCACGAATCCGGCTATTCGTCCGTGGGACCCACACAGAAGGGGAAGGAAACAATGCCATTTAGGTGGGCAGGTGGGAAACTCAGGGGCCTAGCACCGTGTATCCAGGGCACGTCGGGGATGGAGGAAAGCAAGCCCCTGCCAATCATGACTTTTTTTTTAAAGACATTTTAAAAATATATTTTATTGATTTTTCACAGAGAGGAAGGGAGAGGGATAGAGAGTCAGAAACATCATGAGAGAGAAACATCGATCAGCTGCCTCCTGCACATCTCCCACTGGGGATGTGCCCGCAACTAACGTACATGCCCTTGACTGGAATCGAACCTGGGACCCTTCAGTCCGCAGGCCGATGCTCTATCCACTGAGCCAAACCGGTTAGGGCAATCATGACTTTTTAAGAAGGGAGAAGCATTTAACACACACACACACACACACACACACACACCAAAAAGACGAGAGAGAGTGCGTGTCTCACACTAGTTTCTGTGGACTTCCACTTTGCCCTAAATTGCAAAAAGACCTGAAAAATCCAGGTGAAGGAGCCCTTTATCTCTGCATCCACCAAACCCAATCGCATAGCACCCCGTTCCCAGGAGCTTCAGTAGCTCAAAGAGACGGTGAAAAAGATGATACTGAGAATCAAACAGCCAGTGGGGGCGGTGGGAGTGGGGGAGGCCGGGGCCGGGCCGGGGCCTCAGAAGAAAGAAATCCTGTTTATCCTCCGGCTTAACCCCGACCTAAGCCTCCGCCAGGCCCGCCAGGACTCCTTCCACTAAAGCAACTCTTTTTCCGCCCCCACCGCGGCCCTTTGAAGCGGGGATGCCCCACCCCCGCCCGCCCCGAGGTCAGGGCGGACACCGAGGCCACAGGTAATGGCACCTGCGCGCCCCCTTCCCGGGACCTGACGCCACGCACCTTCTCGGCGCAGCAAACGGACCGGGCCACCTGCGCTCGACCTGTTGGACCCGCTCAGCGTCTCCCTGTAAACTCCCAGGCTCGCCCTCCCGTTCCCACCCCCCCGCCGCGGGCTCAGGTTTTGGGCTCCCCGTCCTCACCCCGCTCGCGGGCCCCCCGGGCAGGGGGACTGTCTGTCCCGGCACTCCGCCCTGGGTCGGATCCCTGGCCGCAGCCGGGCCCGGGTCCTCGCGATCCCCGCCCCGATCTCCCTCCTCCGGGCACCCGGTCGGTCAGCACCGCGCCCGCGGACGGCGCCCCCACGCGCGCCCCCGGCCCCTGCGCCCCCCTCCAGCCGGCTCACCCGAGAAGTTGTCGAAGGCGGTGGGGATGTACTCGGTGGGGTAGCCGTAGGTCGTGTAGCTCACCACCAGGCTGGTCTTGCCCACCGCGCCGTCGC